TTCAGAAACACTGCCAAATATATTGAGTAAATGTAAAGCTATTTTCTATCTAAAACTACTAAACTTTTAAATCAAACTTAAAATTAACAACGCCCCTCAGCTAAGGTACTAGCATTAGTAAGGCCTGAAAGCAAGCTTTTAACAAAAGTAGAAAACCATAGAAATCTACTTTTCCATCTTTCATTTTTTGTTTTAATCCAGAGAAAAGCTTCTAAGAGGTAAGTAAATGATACTGGAAGCAATTGTATTTACCTTAAAACACAAACAAACCAAACTCCACCTCCTTTAGACCCATCCAAACAGCCAAGGTTCAAGGAACAGGGGAGTGAATCACGTATTTTGCACTTGGATGTCAGGGGAGTGCGTGTGTGTGTGGTGTGTTCAAAGCATGTTTCATGAAGAGCCTACTCTCATTTGTGATCATAGACTTCTCTTATCCCAGCTTTGATCATACAGTTACAGTGAGGAAACAGTTTTCATAGTAAGGAATAATTACTTGAATATTAACAGCAGCTAATACTAACTAAATAGAATCTATTCCAACTTCTTCCTCAACCCTTTGATGTGCTTCATTACTCTCAGACTACCCTCTTTCCACCTACTCTGCAATTTCCTCTTTCCAATGGACATTGCTCGGGCAGCTTCCACTCTCTTGGACCCCCCATTTATTTCTGACTGCTGGTCAATGATCATGCTAATTTAATCAGCAGTTAGCCTCCTGTCCTTCTCTACTGCGAGGGTTGCTAAGACATGAAAGAAAAGCTAGCACTCTCTTTCCAGCTGTTCACTGTCACTTTGCTATGAGGACTCTGAACTCCTTCAGGAACCACTGGAAACAAAGCAAGACAACACTTCATGACAGAAGCTCCCACCACTGCTTCGATAAAACTAGGAACTCATGCCTTAAAATATTCCATTCAGTCTCTAACAGCAGTAGGATTTTGCATCTTAGAACTGTATTACAGTCAATAGCAGTGGTCATTGACAGTATTCTTAATTGCCAATTTAAAAAAAAAAAAAAAGATGCAAAAGAAACATTCACAAAAGTTGTATTATTTTGGAATTTAAATATCACTAGTTATAATCAAATTTCATAAAAATAGCCTACAGAGAACACAATCTAGCAAGAGATTTCATGCAGTGTATATTAATGCTCTCCATTTGTTATTTTCAACAATTCAGTAAGATCATGGCATGAAGCAAACATACATTTTCAAAGTCTCTTAAACATAAACGCAGCAAAACACTCTGTATTTTCTTCACAGTAAGAAACAACTGCATACACCTGCTTAACTGAACTTTTTTTCACAAAGTTCTACTATGTATCTTAGTCAGTTACTCTGCTCCATACACTAAAGTACAAAGAAACATCCTTCTCCCTTTTTTACTAAAAGGTTGCATCTTTCTATTTTTACTCCTAAATAATATATATATCTCCCTTACAGCACTCCCAAAGCTACCCTACTTACCCGACCTCTTTGTATTCTTTCCCGTACACCAATATCACCTCATTTATGCATTTAAAAAGACCTACAAGGATCATCTACGCTTTCAGTCTGTCCATCCTCAAGCGTAAGAACCTCAAACCTTTGTACTTCCCTTTTTCTTCAGTTGAAACACTTCCACATCCCCAAGGTCCTTCATAGTTCTATTCCCTGTAAACAATGCTAGCTTTAAGTCCCTATTTGTTACTGTTAAGGAACTTCACCCTTGAGTTGGTCTCATAAAACCCCGTAATCTCTTCAAACTCCCCACTTGCCTATAGCAGCTGACCTAGAAATAAGAGATGCATTGAGGGGGGTAGCTGTTCATTATGTTTTAAACACTTGCATACATAGACAATGTCCCCATGCACAAGGAGCTGAAAGTAAGAACAAAGTCACTGCAGTTTTTATTATGCTGGATGTACAAGTACTCTTTGGAAACCAGGGACCTGACAAAAATTTGAAAAGTACTCTATGATGTTTAGTAAACTTGGTTAGTTAGGTAAACTTGGAAGTCTCTCTCCAGAGGAATGATCTCTACGTAGTCTCTTTCCACAGAAATCACAAAGTAAGCAACTTTGAAAAACGCTTTGTTTGCACTGTATCAGTATGGAGGGCTTACCCATAGAACACATTTTAAAACCTTAATTGAAAGCAATTGAATTTCTTACCATGGATTACAGTTCTACAAACACAAAAGATTCTGCCATGAATATTACAAAAATAAGCTTAAACAACAAATCCCTTTAAACAGGTACCAAAGATATTCACAGAGGGAGGTTCTATCATTTCTGTGTTATTCATTTTCAATCAATTTAATTATAGCTCTTGCATTTTATATGTATATACTTATCTTTAAATGACATTTAGCCAGTTGTCTTTACCATGAAAAAGTGAACCAGTTATGACTGAGTCCCAAGTATCAGCATGCTACACCAGTGAATCTTCCCATTTCACTTTGGAGTAAAAATCGCTAAGAGATATGTAAGAGTGACTTTTCAAACATTGACTTGAAAGGGAGAGATCAGGTTAATTCAGCTTTAAGTTCAGCAATGATACTCCATATTTCTGTTCTGTTTTGTTTTCTAAAGGATGAGAGAAAAAGAGATTGTTTGTTTGGGACTTTAATGTCATTTGGGAAAATAAATACTAGAGATTTTTCAATGAGGTTTGTTTTGTTAAGTTCGGCTAGATCATAGGAAGGCAGTAACATCTTTGCAGTAGTTCCAAATTAAGCACCACTGATTTTAAAATAAAGAAATGCACAGCAATTACCAAAAAAAACCCACTTCCCCCCCCCCCCCAACTACAGTAGCATGAAAGCCAGTTAGTACTCTTCAGTCGTATTAGGACTTCAATGAAAAATTTTAGCATTTTTTAAAATGCCTTTTTTTCTTTTTTCTACTGTACATTTGTAATTGCAAAACTAAGGGGATACTGTATCAATAAACCAGTACCACAGTGTAATTCAATAAACAGAGAACATGGTAGATTATCAGTTCATCTTCTGCATATTAGCAATATGCAAATATCCGTAATACCATCACATTTCACCTATATTCTAACACCTACCTTCAATTCATACTGACAGAAAGATTCAGTAAGACAAAGTTGATAAACTCCTGCTCCCATGTGCTCAGTTTTGGTTTACTACATACAATACACAGGATTTAACAAAATGTTGGTTGCTTCAAATATATTTTTAAAAGCTGTAACTGGGGCCAAACTAACCTAACACCACAAAAAAAAACCCCAAACAAACCACCTTTAAAAATTCACTTCTTATTTCCATGGAATTCTAAAAATGTTCATCTTTTAAAATTAGTAATTTCCCTCAGACTGTTGAAGGCTAACTTCCTTTTCCCAGTCTAGCAACATATTATGTGCAAAGGACCACTTTCAGATCAGAATAAACGAAATTTCCACTGTGTTAACAGCTTGGGGAAGGAGAAGGTACAGAGGGATAGTGTTCCTTCCACTTAGAAAACGACAAATAATTCATCTTCCTTCATTGTCACGATATACATCCATGCTTCAGGTCATTCCCCAACTATTAAATCCAGCTGGACACTGTGAGAACTTCAGAATGTCTTTCCTATCTTAAAAACAATTCCAACACACAAATAAGCTAATATGCTTCTTGTATAGAGCCTCACCCTCCAGATCTTTTCATATACGCATAACTCCACTGTCACTCCACTGAAGCAGAAAGAATTACTGATTTTAGCAAAACTAAGACAAACTGCATGAGTATGTAGGACGAGTATCTTTGGACAGGTGAACAGGAAGTGAGAAGACACCTTTGTGTCCTGAAAAGTAGCACAGAATAGCAGCCTACTGGTCTTGCACATGCATTTCATTCTGAGACTACTACACTTTCAAGTATGATCAAAAATAATGAAAATCAGCGTACTAAAAAAAGTAGCATGTTTTTATAACCAGTCTACACAATGATATCACATTACCAGTGGTCTACAAAGCCTCTGTATTAATCTGAAGAAGGAAAAACAAATAGCAACTGTAAGAACACTCAGGTAGCATAAACATACTTGTGATGTGGAACTAGTATTTCCTAAAAGGTACTTACAGACATTTGATTTTACTTTAACTGTTATAACAAGTTAAAATAGTGCAGCATTAAATATATCTGTACATCACAAGTTGTTAACTTTATAGAGATCAAAGAAGCACTGATTTAAAGCTCTAAGTTCTCTACTTAAATACTTCATAACTCAGTACAAAGACTAAATACAGTACTTACAAAACAGAAAATATGCTTCCAAATGAAGTCAGTAACAGGATTTTCTAAACTGCAACTGTTACTATTTTTCATTAAATTGAAAACCCTACTTTTTCCTTTTTTCTAGGAAGCAGGGATAGAAAACAGTATCAGTTAAAAATATTAGGGATATTACTACTGTCTATAATATCCTGTAAAAACACAGGAAGCTGACTTGACTGTGAACATTCTTCTCTAAGCTCCTGTCAAGAAAGGCTCTAGTAAGTGCTACCTTTGATTATCATTTTCTGACTGTTAAGAGTTCTACACAGCAGCTAAATACGAGGAAGCTTTTTTTGCATTTCTTATGGGGTTCAGTCTATGAAGCACATAACTATAACTATACAGTATAGCACACACAACACAGAGTTAGTTAAAAAAAAGGTCTCTAAAACAGCTAATATTTCTTGTTAGTGAAAAATCCAGAATAGTATTTCATGTTATCAAATGTTGCAGTATGTCTAAAGTAAGAGAGACATACCAGTTTAAAAAAAGTCTATCTTTGTGGTTGTAAGAAAAACCACCATACCTGTAAAAATAAGAAAATTAATAAGGGTTTCAATGACTAAATGATTGCTTCCAATGAAACTTGCACTTTGCTCTCACTGCAGTCTTCCAAGCACGGTACGAGGCATGTTTAGTGTAACGCACTCATCACCTGAGCGATACTAGCTAAATTTTAAAATTTATGAGAAATTAGTAATTGCTTAAATAAAGGTTAATTAAAGATAACTCACCACCATCCCTCTCTCTAACTCTGTGAGTATGCACACTTTTTGCTTTACTGTGCCCTGTGTTGTCACCATATTTGTTTTCAGGGCTATCAGAGCGCCGCAACATTTTATTTGGTGGTGAAGGATCTGTGGTGTCTCGCATCTTGTCATGACGGTGATCACCACCACTGGGGTGACTCTTGGATGAGTACTTAAGAGCCTGTAACAGATCACAAGAAAATAGGCATTTACATTGAAGTTACAGAATTAACGTTTAAATGTTATTTCTAAATTATAGATCTCTTTTCAAAACACTTTTTAAAGTTAATTAATTTTCATTTCCTATTTAAAAAAAAAATCAGCATTAGTCTTTCTAATTTTAATTACCTACATTAAAGCAACAAGTTCTGTAATTAGAACTCAAACCATTTTTTCCTCCCATTACATCCAACATAATACTTGCTGTTAAGAAAATCCTAATTTATCTTTTCAGTGAAGGACTATACGCTGTCAGTAGCAAATGGGCCACAGCACTTCTGCACTTTTGGGAAAAGCACAAGTCTCCAACCGGTATTAAGAATATAAACAGTAGTTTAGAGTCAGTGTAAACTTTTAATATGTCCTCCATACTGTAGTCAAGGTCCCTCATTTTCACCACTACCTTGAACTTCACTGGTTTTTTTTCAGTATAAGCAACCCTGTAGCAGATGTAATTAAAAAAAACTCTAGAATTCGGGGGGCCCAAAACATGTGACAATACATTTTGAAGTTTTTACCAAAAAAATCACATGTTCAGCCTCACTTTGACCTGCCTGATTTTGCAGTGTGAGCTCCTAAGTGGCAAGTGTTTACATTCGCATGAACTGTCACCGACAGCTGCCTTGGACTGTCAGATTACACTTCAGAGTGATACAAACACACAGAAATGTAATAAAACAGTTCAATTCTGTGCCCTAAGGAGAGCAGTATCACAATATAAGGCATTCCTCAGATACATACCCTGAGAACTGTTTTTTTTTCAGTAGAGACAGCAAAGGAATACAGTAACTACCTTACAGAAATTAAGCTTACTGTCAGCAACTTAAGGATTTGATGATTTCTGAACATGCCTAGCAGATGGCAACTGCAGAAATTAAGCCTTACTGGCAACCCCAGTTATTCAGGGTCTAAAACCATGCCCTGCTCAGGTTACAGAACACAGCAGCAGTTTTGGGGAGAAGAAAGAACTTGGGGAGGGGGGTGGGGGAAGAACAAGATGCCTTTTGTTTTTAAGATAGGAAAGACATTCTGAAGTTCTCACAGTGTCCAGCTGGATTTAATAGTTGGGGAATGACCTGAAGCATGGATGTATATCGTGACAATGAAGGAAGATGAATTATTTGTCGTTTTCTAAGTGGAAGGAACACTATCCCTCTGTACCTTCTCCTTCCCCAAGCTGTTAACACAGTGGAAATTTCGTTTATTCTGATCTGAAAGTGGTCCTTTGCACATAATATGTTGCTAGACTGGGAAAAGGAAGTTAGCCTTCAACAGTCTGAGGGAAATTACTAATTTTAAAAGATGAACATTTTTAGAATTCCATGGAAATAAGAAGTGAATTTTTAAAGGTGGTTTGTTTGGGGTTTTTTTTTGTGGTGTTAGGTTAGTTTGGCCCCAGTTACAGCTTTTAAAAATATATTTGAAGCAACCAACATTTTGTTAAATCCTGTGTATTGTATGTAGTAAACCAAAACTGAGCACATGGGAGCAGGAGTTTATCAACTTTGTCTTACTGAATCTTTCTGTCAGTATGAATTGAAGGTAGGTGTTAGAATATAGGTGAAATGTGATGGTATTACGGATATTTGCATATTGCTAATATGC